TATTGTATTGTGTTTTTATGGAAGTAAATGTATGCTGTTTAAAAACCTCGCGATTGCTGAGCAAGAAAACGACACATTCGTACTCAGAAGGATCTTTTAAAAGACAATGCTGTTTGCTGTTTTATGCTTTATATCTATGCTTTGTCTCAGCCATATTTTATATCTCTTCCAATTGAACAGGGGCGCGTATGACGACGCACCACATCGGGTTGCGAAATGTTTCAAATGATGATTGATGAAACAAGCCATGCCGTTCAGAATGCTGACTACACCTTTTCTTATGAAACTGAGCATCATAAAGGCCTTGCTTACTGAATAGTTATGGCTGTAGGCGTTGACGAAGATGACCAAATGAGCGAGTTCGAGACCTAACTTCGCAAGTGCCTCAATAAGTCCGTCCGTCTGCGGTGTCTGGACGAACGGCACTTTTCCGCTGCCCAGCGAAATTCTGTCGACATCCGAAAGTCAGGTAAAATCAGTACTCAATTGGAGCATACGATATTTTTTATTTTTGTTACAAATGACTTAATGAACTACAGGCTTGATCAAAGTATTAAAGGCTCTTGAATATTTGGCAATGACTAGTGTAGCGATCAGTGCAAAGTACCAATGCCCAATTATCGCCCCATCCCCATATACCTAGAAACTACATAGCGCAAGGATTCCCAGATGTATGCATTTAAAATTAATGTCCGCCAATTAAATCGACTTTTACTGGAAAAATGGCGCGTGTAGCGCAGTGGTCGGAGGAACCCTGCAATGCACATAGGATCGGTCCCCACGCGCAAGGCTCACTAAGCCTCGTATTCTTCCGCGGGTGGTAAATTGGTACGACTTGTCAGGGAGCATAGCAGCACTAGCTCGATACATCGGTAGACCAACGCGAGTCCTTATAAAGGTCAGGTATGCATTCAATCACCTCCAAACGAAACTTAGTGAAGTCGAATGCTTGGCCCACCCCTCAGGAATTGATCAACGCTGAGAGTCTTGTCCTTTTTACCCTTCCATTATTTTTCACGGCAGGATATGATGTTAAATGCAACTGCTATGATACTGAGATATTTTCAGACCTGGACCCTAGGCCAGATCGAACTCGCGGTTACACTTTGCGGAGCACACGTGTTACCCACGGCACCACTAAGTCCATTGCTTTGTCTTTCTATCAGCCAGTTTTCTACCTAATAGTGCCATCAACAATCATTCAACGAAGAAATTTCTTTTTGTTGTGTGTTGAATTGCAATAGTGAAACGGATCATTCCACTCTTTTTAAATGAACCTCGAGACCTTCACAACCATCCCGAAATCTCTGACACTAACGTTGCACCGTAAGGTCACTTCGTTCCACTATGAAGTACAACTTCGATATTGCGAACGACCCTCACTTCAATTTGTAAATCGAAGCAGAAGCTATAATAGCGTATTGCTCTCTATATTCTTATTGAAATAAAGTGAATAATAAGAATAACTGAAAGGGAATTCCAGGAGTTTGCTCCTCATCGTCAACTTGACGATCTGTGCAATTTACGAATATGTCTCAGCCACAAGTGTACAAAATTCCTCTGCTTGTTATTACTGTATCGACTTGATTTGAAAGTCGCCGACATTTCTCGGATAAGTGTTGGAATACGAAACGAACGAATATGCACACCTGAAGCCGCTTAGAGGTCCAGCTCCCTTTCAAGGTGTCGCAATCTCTTGAATGCTTCTGTCACCCTTCATCCAAATTCAGAGGCTCTAAGGATAACAGATAAAGCGTTCAGCATTGATCAATTCTTTAGCGATACGGGGTGGCATTAGGCCTTATTACATATCATAGATGGAATTTAATAGATATTTGGCCTAAGCAATGATGTGCGGTTCCATCGATGAATTAAATAAGTGCTTCCATCCTCACGGCAAAGTTTAGTAAGATCATACCGACCTCGAAATATCATCGGCTTTGGTGTGCGGAGGGCGTAAGACGGAATCAAAGACAACGTGTGAAATGTACAGGTACATCTTATCACTGCCGAACGCGCTCAATCGGAAGCCAATGAGTGGAGAATGTAGGAGTGAGCCTTGGTGCCGTCGGAGCTCATCAGTATCTCATCACTTTCTGTTCGTGGAAGCATAGAATTTGTCTTCAATCAATAACTTATGGTTTTACCTTGTAAAAAAGACAGTGTCCCAATTTGATCAAGCGAATTTGTATAGTGGTGGTTTTTCCGCGAAACACTGAATTTGAGGCAGCAAGAAGGACAGTATCACGTTTTGTAACATATTGTTGCATAGTTTCGTAGTTCCGAAAACAATAAAAAAGACCAGTATTTTTTAATTTTTTTAAAATCTTATTCTATTTGACCCTTCTTTACGTCTACTGTGCGGATCGCAGCACTTCTCACATGCAATTCGTTTCTTCGCATCCATCATCCACGATGATCTTCCAACTTTACTTGTGGCTTCAGCTGATGCTTGAGGTTTTTCATTTCATCTTGAATGTCGTAGAATGCTGTTCTAGCAATTCTCCCTGGAGTCCTAAGATAGTCGGGATGGAACGTTCTCAACTGGATTGCATAGGGTGATTTTTTCCCAGACAAGTCCGGTACCAATTTCCTGATCCCGGAGGGATGACATGCTTAGTTGGTCCGGAGCAGAATCAAAGTAGCACCATGCTTATGATGACGGGCATTACTACCGCTGTGCTACCCGCCCCTAAAAGAGAACTTCCCAAAAAGGGAACCAATAAAAGAAACTAATTATTCATCTTGGGAATGGGAAACACACAAGCTGAACAAATTGAAAAAATGTAACTATGAAGAATTTCCGATATTCCGAGTATAGATAGAAACTTTAGAGTACGACTACCTACTAACCGGATCCATTGAAAATTGCCCTCCTTCGAGCAAAGTGCATTCCTGATGGTGGTAAATGAGTTTTATACGGGATGATCCCAAAGCCATCAATGTGACTAGTGGTCCTGTAATAAATCAACTAGTACATCAGCACATTCGCGTCTCAACAAATTTTTGGTCTCCGGGAAATTTTCAGGCAGATTTTTGGGGTTTTTTTTTTACTTTCCCAACAATTTACTGCTTATTGCTTTGTGAATGTAGACCATTACCACTACGACCGGAATGAAGTGAATTATTGTTTATAACGAAGGCATGATGACATCCTTGAAGCTTTGCTTTCACCAAAGGACCCAAGCATTTTGGTGACTCATTTGAATCGAGCAGAAAGACACTTTTCTGCTCAACTCTTCAAAACTTCAAAAGGCAGAGGATTCCAGATTTCGTTTGATCAACAAGAATACGAAGAATTACTTAGTGAATGCCGAGGTTAATAGAAAGGCGGTCGTGGGATTTATTACGAGACGTACCAGCAAGATACTTCCGACTTGTTAAAGAAGCGCTGTCACTTAGACAAAAGATCGTCTTAGCTCGATAGTCAATACACTTTCTCCGCCGCTGTCTAAAACACCGAGTCGTTCTGAACTTCATCAAGCGAAGACGACTACATGATGTATGCGGACCACCAGAGAACAGTCACCGAGTACTGGACATCGAAGTTCGAATACTACGCACCTGTCTACGAAACCGACAAAGCCAGATGTTCGCCAAGTGGAGAAGTGCGGGTCGAAGGGAAACTTTTGTTCTCAGTACTTGGAGGACCGCCTGTGGAGGAGAATAGTGGGCAGGTCAGTGTTGATTTGCAACTCTTTTAGGCCTAATGCTAAAGTAACTTTGCGGAAAAAATTCGTAGACCTTTTGAGTAAATCGCATAACACAGCTTCAATAGCGCACAGAAATATCGCTAACGAACATCGAACAGGTCACAGTAGGACAAGTAATGTGCAAGAAAACTCAAGACTAACCGTGTTAGGAGGCATGACTCTCCCTGACGGCGCGCGCTCATTATTAGAATTGGGACCGAGTTTCTCACCATCTGAACCCATTTCTAAGATAACCTTGTGTAGGGTCGCATGTAGTTTACATGAACTTCAAGATAGACTCAGCAAAAAGCTAGAGATGAAGCGCGAAATAGGTGCAAACAAGACTAAGTGAGGACCCTACCAATAGCACCACTTCCTTAGCCGTTCCTTAGACAATAAGAGCCCAATAATAAGGTCGATGTTAAATTTCGGATGTTTACGATGTTTACGGATGTCATGAAAATGCTCCACCTTATTCCTCATCATCTGAGGAGTTTAAAAGAAAATACCGAAAATTAAACCACGAATATGCTAAAGTGGCAAGAGCTGCTGCTTTAAAACCATCAGTTATCTCTCAACTAAGAGTTAACTAACCAACATCTCCCGTCTTCTACTTGCTTATAAAAACTTATAAGTTAGTTTTCTTCGTATTTTTGTTGAGCAAACGCGAGGTGTTATTATTCTTCGTTCACGATTAAGCTGACGTTTCGGCGGATTTCGCCTTCCTCAGAGCCTGGAAAGGTCAAGTTGATAGCAATCCACTCGGCCAGACGCCTCCATAACATAAACAAAGAAACTCTAAACCAAGATTTCAATCACTTTAAACACAGCTTTGCACACTCACCGCTTTCTATGAGGTCTCCACTAAGTATGTCACGTAGAGACCAACCGCACAGAAATCACGTGGAAGTATAATGTGCCCCTCACATCAGAAAAGCAGTTTTATATACCGCCCTATATCACGCGTGATAATGAGGCATTCTTCCTTGCGGTTCATTTTCGGATTTCTGGAATTAATCCAGAGTGCCTCGAGGGTTTTTCGCGCCTGTGTTCTCGATTCGCGTGCGAGGATCGTGACACATACTTCGAAGTCGTCCCCGTTATGTCTCTGGGTCCTATGCGTGCCTAGCGGGGTATTTGGTCTATTTTTGCCGGCTAGGTGTTCTTTCATGCGGACACAGAGGGGTCTACCCGTTTCNATGTTTACGGATGTCATGAAAATGCTCCACCTTATTCCTCATCATCTGAGGAGTTTAAAAGAAAATACCGAAAATTAAACCACGAATATGCTAAAGTGGCAAGAGCTGCTGCTTTAAAACCATCAGTTATCTCTCAACTAAGAGTTAACTAACCAACATCTCCCGTCTTCTACTTGCTTATAAAAACTTATAAGTTAGTTTTCTTCGTATTTTTGTTGAGCAAACGCGAGGTGTTATTATTCTTCGTTCACGATTAAGCTGACGTTTCGGCGGATTTCGCCTTCCTCAGAGCCTGGAAAGGTCAAGTTGATGGCAATCCACTCGGCCAGACGCCTCCATAACATAAACAAAGAAACTCTAAACCAAGATTTCAATCACTTTAAATACAGCTTTGCACACTCACCGCTTCTTATGAGGTTTCCACTAAGTATGTCACGTAGAGACCAACAGCACAGAAATCACATGGAAGTATAATGTACCCCTCACATCAGAAAAGCAGTTTTATATACTGCCCAATATCACGCGTGATAATGAGGCATTCTTCCTTGCGGTTCATTTTCAGATTTCTGGAATTAATCCAGTACGCCTCGAGAGTTTTGCGCGCTTGTGTTCTCCATTCCTGTGAGAGGAACGTGACACATACTTCGAAGTCGTCCCCGTTATGTCTCTGGGTCCTATGCGTGCCTAGCAGGGTATTTGGTCTATTTTTGCCGGCTAGGTGTTCTTTTATGCGGACACAGAGGGGTCTACTCGTTTCGCCAATGTATTCGTCACCACACGTCTTACAGGAGATCAGGTAAACTATACCCGAGCTCATGCAATCACCGTCTCTACCACTGGGGCAAATCATGCAATTCTGAGTTGCACATAGACGGTCATATAGGCGGTTATGAACTAGCTGGCGCTTAAGATTACTCGGTGGTATTTCAACTACGCTCACCGAATTCTCTAAGCCCGCCCTTCTTAAGCAGCGTTTTATAACCGTACTTATATCATTTGAGATGAAGGGTAGGATAAACGGGACCCTTCTATCGCTAGAGTTGTCGTTTAGGGGCCTAGGATTTCCACTNAGGAGATCAGATAAACTATACCCGAGCTCATGCAATCACCGTCTCTACCACTGGGGCAAATCATGCAATTCTGAGTTGCACATAGACGGTCATATAGGCGGTTATAACTAGCTGCGCTTAAGATTACTCGGTGGTATTTCAACTACGCTCACCGAATTCTCTAAGCCCGCCCTTCTTAAGCAGCGTTTTATAACCGTACTTATATCATTTGAGATGAAGGGTAGGATAAACGGGACCCTTCTATCGCTAGAGTTGTCGTTTAGGGGCCTAGGATTTCCACTACACCTATTCCGAGCAACAGTTTCGTAACCATTAGAAATGGCAATTTGCCGTGCCAAGTTCCGGAACTCCTCTCTCTGCTCTCTTCCCGTGCACACGTTGGTTGCTGTTCGAAACATGTTTCTTAAATGAGGGGCACATTATACTTCCATGTGATTTCTGTGCGGTTGGTCTCTACGTGACATGCTTAGTGGATACCTCATAAGAAGCGGTGAGTGTGCAAAGCTGTGTTCAAAGTGATTGAAATCTTGGTTTAGAGTTTCTTTGTTTGGTTATGGACGCGTCTGGCCGAGTGGATTGCTATCAACTTGACCTTTCCAGGTTCTGAGGAAGGCGAAATCCGCCGAAACGTCAGCTTAACCGTGAACGAAGAATAATAACACCTCGCATTGGCTCAACAAAAATACGAAGAAAATTACTTGATCAATGCCGAGGTTAATAGAAAGTCGGTCGTGGCAGTTATAAGTTAGTATCCAGCGATGATCTTGCGTCTACCGATCCATCATTATTTAAGGTTAGGCCTATCATTGGCTGTGTAGACGGGTCAAAGGATAGTATAACATGGTTTTTAACCATACTATTTGACCAGTCATTGAAACAAATTCCAGCCCATCTTACGAATACCCAGATGTTTCTGCATCGTCTGCGTACTGTGCAGCCGAGCAGCGCGTACGTGATGGAGTCCTTTGACGCTACCGCCCTTTATACAAATGTGTCGAACGGCTCCGCAATGGAAGCCGTATTCGAACTCTTTATACAACACGAAGGAGAAATAAACATGTATAACTTCAACATAGAGTACTTGATGGCACTCTTAAAAGAATGCTTGAGCTACTGAATCTTCAGATGGTCCGGACTACGCTCAAATAAGAGCGTTGGCAATGGGACAATCACTGGCACCAAGTCTTGCCATTGCGTTTATGTCTAAGGTGGAAGCACCTGTGACCGACCTCGTGCCACTACTCTACTGTAGCTATATAGATGACTGTTTTGTCCTTTGCTCAACACAAGAGAAAATGGACAAGTGTTTCGAGTTGTTGAATGAACAGTCAGAGTATATCAAGTTCACCCGAGAGAAGCCGAGAGAAAACTGGCTTCCATTCTTGAATGTCCAAATCAACTTATCAGAAAATTGCTACATTACGAAGTGGTACCGAAAGCCAAGTAGTAGAAACATCTTGGTTCATTACCTCTCTTCTCACCCTTCTCACATGAAAACGGCGCTTGTAAGAAACATGTTTCGAACAGGAACCAACGTGTGCACAGGAAGAGAGCAGAGAGATGAGTCCCGGAACTTGGCGCGGCAAATAGCCATTTCTAATTGTTACGAAACTGTAGCTCGGAATAGGTGTAGTGGAAATCCTAGGCCCCTAAACGACAACTCTAGCGATAAAAAGGTCCCGTTTATCCCACCCTTCATCTCAAATGATGTAAGTGCAGCTATTAAACGCTGTTTAAGAAGGGCGGGTCTAGAGAATTCGGTAAACGTAGCTGAAATGCCACCGAGTAATCTTAGGTGCTAGCTACTTCGTAACCGCCTATGTGAGCGTCCATGTGCAATGCAAAATTGCATAATTTGCCCTAATGGTAGAGACGGTGATTGCATGAGCTCGAGTACAGTTTATCTGATCTCCTGTAAGGTATGCGGAGACGAATACACTGGCGAAACGGGCAGATCCCTCTGTGTCCGCATAAAAGAACACCTAGTCGGCTCGGCAAACATAAACCAAATACCCCACTACGCACGCGTAGGACTCAGAGACATAACGGGGAGGACTTTGAAGTACGTGTCACGATCCTCGCACAGGAATGGAGAACACAAGCGCGCAAAACTCTCGAGGCGTTCTGGATTAATTCCAGAAATCCGAAAATGAACCGCAGGGATGAATGCCTCTTTATCACGCGTGGTATTGGGCAGTATATAAGTCTGTTATTTTGATGGGACGGGCACATTAAGATTCCATGTGAGCTCTGTGCAGTTGGTCTCCACGTGACAGATTTAGTGGAAGCCTCAGAGAAAGCCGTGAGTGTGCAAAGCTGTGTTCAATGTGATTGAAATCTTGGTTTAGCGTTTTCTTTGCTTGGTTATGGAGGTGTTTCAGCCGAACAGATTGCTGTCCACTCGGCCTTTCCATGCTCTGAGGAAGACGAAATCCGTCGAAACGTATTTGTGAATAAAGAATGAAAATAACACCTCGCGCTTGCTCAACAAGAATACAAAGAATGACTTGATCAATGCCGAGGTTAATAGAAAGTCGGTCGTGGGAGTTACTGCAAGATGTAGCGGTAAAGTCCGTATGGATTCGGAATTGTCATTAATTGCTTGAAATTCAACTTACAAGTGTTAAAGCGAATTCTCTTCTTGAACCATGTTACGTTTACTGAAACAGCCGGTTTTCTCCGCAAAGAATAAACAGCTTGATGGCCTAGCTCACCCAGATGAGAGAGGATTAACGCAATTTTTATTCAGCTTTTTGCTTCGATACATCGAACGTTCTAAAGGAAAAAACACTTGCATGCCAAATTATCTGGTGCACACTTTCTTTTTTTTTTTACGTGATTCGTAATCACATCCACTGTGCACTTTCCAGGTATTCCTAAGTTCGATTCCTTTTCCTCGAATTTATCTTCCACAATGGTCTTCGAACATTTCGCGTATTGTTTCGGCTGTTATTTCAGGATTCTGTCTTCTTTACGAATGTCATAGAATGATGGTCGGATATGTTTTTCCTTCAATCTTGGAGCTAGCTGGGTTGAGGTGCTCCCACGTTTACCGGAAGGATGCGCGAAGGAGGGACTCTGCTTCCTGATGAGCTGAATCACCAACCAGTGCGCTGCATTTTACATGTTGAGTTATAGCGAAGGCAAAAAACACATAATTTCGATTCCAATACTTTCCGTCTAGTCTGATGCCGATGTAATCAGTGTTCCGTCTTTGGTAACTTTCTCCAGAACCTGTCCTACCTCTAGGAAAGTGCATCTTAAAGCAGTTTTCTTTTACCGATAATCTCAGCAGTTAGGCGATCACTATAATAGTCAGAGTGGGGATTCAACTATATTAAATTTTTGATAAGCGCTCGCGACGAACCTCTGCAAATTTCATTGGTTCCGATCTCTCTATTTGGATAGATAAGACGGATAATTAGGATGTCATAACAAATGAGTCGTCCTGATTGGATTCCACTGGCAGCAGCAGTTGAGCACTTCTTCTTCTCTTTACGGAAATTAGAACAAACAGTTCTTGTTCTTTCCGATGCAAAGACATGCCTGACGTTGATCTCTTCCACATCTGATGGCGATCATAGCATTACGGCGCCTTTAACACAAATGATTGATTTGTTCCCATTCGACGAACACCGATCCATTCTGTTCCAATGTTACTCTCTCTCTGCCACCCAAATAACGAATTAAGCCCTGTTTCACCACTCCAGTGTTTTCACAATTTCCGAAAACAAGTTCTTTTCTTATTTCCGTTGATTTTTCGGTGAAATTATTTAAAAAGCTTGGAATTTGACGATAATGCTCACATTAGAGGCAATTCTGGTCTAGGGATTCGTATCGAAAACTTTTGGTACAATTGAAACAGCTGAATAGCTATTACGGCAAGCATCATTTCTTTAGGACTGAGGTTAAACTTTGGTGAGGCTACCTGAATAGGTCGATTCCGGTTTTCATAGTTTCTGTTCTCGCCAGTCATTTCGTCACAAAAGTACATGCATTCATTACAAAGTTTGAAACTCGTTATGGTATTGCTTTTGATTTTCTAGCTCAATATACCATAAAGACCTACTGGAACGTTTTTTTGGGTTTTATAGCTTAGATAATCTCTTCACATTTTAAAGCCAACTAATCGGAGCCAAGAGTTTCTAAAAACTTGTTGGACGTTTGATCTAATTGCCGAGTTCTATCCATGCTTTAACTCTTTCATAAAAATCTTGCCTGTTACAGATGTGCACACTCCTCTACTTGCTCTCTTCCCTGGTTATGGTCATTTCTGAGGAGCTGATACTTGTGCAAACGGTGAGTTCAATTACTCGTAATGAAGCAAAACTTTCTCAGAAAACCTCTACTTTTAGGGAACACATTCGAAAAAAGTCCAAAGCTTGTGAATTTATGAAATTATATCCGCCTTCTCGTTAATGATTAACTTTAGTTCATTTATCATTATTGTTCACGCATGAGTCGTATTTGACTCACACCTAGTTGAAACTTGTTGCGCCTTCCAACCTCAAGCAGTCATACTTCGGTTAATTGTGAACTTTATTAGTTGACTTAATAATTAAATCTTAAGAAACTGTTTCATTAACTAACAACTGAATTTTGCCAGAATCGTAGATCATTATTTGCAACACTCAGCCTTTACTGTCACTTAACGATAAGATTCTGATTTTCCGAATCGTTTTTCCTTCTTATTTTTCCTCAAAGTTCCTCTAGCAGTGAAGGGCTTGAACAACCAGGGTTTCGTCTAACAAGTCATGCTGGTGTCCTGTTTTCACTGCTGTGCTTACGTTGGGAAGGAGAAGAAGGAGAATTTAGAAAATTCTAGTCTAGATGAAGCTAGAATTGTTTGTGTTGAAAGCTGTTGTTTCGTTCATATCATACTATTATGTAAAGGCGTTTTGCGCAGGTTCTGACTATAGATGCAGTGAACATTCTCCTCTGGACGAGCATGTCGTCTAGTTTTGCTCTTAGCTCTCTACGTGGTCGTATTTCGTCTAAATGACCAACACTGTTGTTCTCATCGTGCAGAAGTCCCATCCGTTTTTAGTCTTATCTGTCTCGTTTAGCTGCACCCTGGTCCAAAGCTTTCGCTCGGAGCAGTCTTTGGCCTATCCCTTTCCTTGCCACGACATCAAATTTTGTCGATATTCAGTAAAAAAGACTGTTACTCACCAAACAACTTTTTTTCCTGTCAATATGTGTCTTTCTGTCCTGTTTTTTTCGTGTTTTCCTACCAACTTAATCCTCGGTATGTCCTCGACAGTCTTCATGTGGCATTCAATATCAGACGTTAATCAACATGTCGGTGGGTGTTGTCGGCACTACTTCTTCCGCGCTATGATTGAACGTTCGAGGTCTTCATCGAATTACAAACATAGGATAATTGTACTGAGATAGTGTTATTTAGCAAAAATCGTCTTGAGGAGAGCGGATTATCGCCTGTATAAGACGATGACTAAATCGGGTGCATGGCAGTGCTATCATGATAGCGTAAACAGCTCTACGTCGCCTAAATGTACAAAGTTGTGGTCTTTTGGTGTGAAGAGTGCCCCCCTGAAGCGCTCAACTGTTAGTCTTTCTTCTTCGAAATAAAAAAAACCTCTTGCATCGACGTTGTTCAAGAAAGCTCTACGAAGTGATTTCTTTTGATTTATTTCGATAGTTCATTGGAAACCCGTTGGTCCCAGGCTCATCTTCTTCCCATCTTAACCCTCTTGTTTAGGTCTACCGTAAAATCCATTTAGAACTTTGTTTTCTTGTTTGCTAAATCATCCTAGCCTTAACAGTGTGTCTTTTCCTCGGTCATCAGTCAGCGACGCTTAAAAGTAACTGTGGAATTTTTTTCTTCTTTCTAGGATGGCTGTGTGCAGGAAGCTTATAAGAGGCTTGGTAATTTCGGGAAAATTAGAAGAAAATCAGCTATAACTAGGCGGTAAAAGAACTACTACCTTTATTTTATGTGCCGTTATCTTCTCGGAGATGTCCAGTTGTTCATTTTGAACGTGTAGTCTCTTTCTGGACATTCTACTGTTAATCTTTTTGTAACATTCTCACCAGACTGAATCATAGATTCCTGTTTTTCATTTCACTGACCGGCATTCGTTGTTTGGGCTTGCTGTGCGGAATGGTGTGATCAGTTCCGGCTAAACTGTTTCGCTTTGAAGTCATGAGTCAGGAATTTTAAGGGTTCCACAAGTACCGATCCACAACAGAGAGCTGACTAGCTTGTGAAAAGGATCTAAAAAGGTGTGATGTGCTGTTAATTGGGACATTATTCATCTTAGTTCGATGACTAGAAGCGCTTTCTCGTCTATGGAAAACTGTACAAGGCAAAAATATTAAACTATATTACATATTGCTGAGATATTTGCAAAACTCCGGACCGCAGGTATCTGAAGGAATATTACATATTGTTTTCCTCTAAGATTTTTCAAAGCGTTTTTAAAGCTCAGACTGTTGAGGTATTCCGACATGGCGACAGAGCCCCAATAAGACCCATGACCTCCGCCGAATCCTGGGCCTACTACTACAGAGGCAGAGAGCATCTCACTAACGTTGGTTTTCTGCTTCTTTTTTTTAAAAATAACAGTAACATTTTTCGGTACAATTAGTCTTCTGATTTTTAAGAATTCTATTGTAGTAGTTGAACTCATTTACCATATTCTTCACCTTTTTTGGTTCACATGGCCCGACTTCACACGTTGTGCGCACCGCAGCACTTTTTTCGTTGTCAAGTAAATCTTCCTTGGAATCATGGCATAGCCGTTCTAGGGCATTCTCAGGTTTTCACCACTGCCAGACTCTAGCCTGTGTGCATCGGAGGGAGCTCTTCCTAAATACATCCGGTACCGATCTACCAACCTCGGATGGGTGGAATTAAAAATTTGTTAAAAAAGACATTATTCGACAATCATTATAGGTGAGTGAATTGCGGAAAAAGCCGAATTTGTATTGGCAAGAGCTACCTAACCGTGATGAAAACATACGGCACTGGAACGTCAAGAAGCCGGTTAACTACGGTTTGACAACGATCAAAAAACTGAGCACTCTTTCGAAGTGAAGTACTTCAAATAGATGCCGAACCCATTGCTATAAGCTATTGCATTCGACTGTTTCCTACGACGTTCCCTCAGTTTTAGTGTTTCCTCATGGAAGCATCGGTTTCACAAGAAAGAAATTTTTTACCTCATTATAAAAAAAAGTACATATTGTATGTGCTTCCGATGGCAACACTCGATTCTTTTATAAATGAAAAAAATTTCTATCGTCATTTGTAACGTGGACCGAAGTTCGTTAGTTGAGTTTCGCTGACTTGAGTTTATAGTTTTCGCTATTTCCGCAATGCATCTGAATGATGTGAACATGCAGTGACCAAAAGCGATCATATTCTTATTGTGAGACGCTTGGATTCAAGAGGTGGGCTTTCAGTTTCTACTCAGTCTAATGTGCTTGTGCCTTCCATACACGAATTACTAAACCCGCAAACATGTGAGTGAGATATTGCGTTCATGCGGACTATGTACGTCTATCCGATCAGAAGCTTCCAGTCATGTAATTGGGAAGTACATGACAGGCTGTTAAGGGTCATGTCCAGCAAACAAATTCCAGCCCAAAAGTCTACTCGTGAGCATTGCCAGCTCGAAAAACAAGGCTTGATGGGCAACTGTTCTCCAAAAACCATACAAACAGTGCGCTACGCTTTTCTCTGAGAACGAAACCACCAATGTGGCGTCGTTGGAACTTGTCTATCATGTAGAAGTTTAGCTGATCGTACAACAACAAACCAGTTGATGGAGCGATGATCTCATAACATGAGCTTGGATATGAACATCGATACGTTTTTATCACTTACGACTTTAACTGGATATTTGTGGTTGTGAAAGTCGACCAACATGGCCTTTATTCTCTACACGTCGACGTAAAAGTACAGCAAAAATTTAATACGGGCATTTTTTAAGAAGCCTAGATGTCTTCCACAAGAATTTGGAAAGCTTCAACGGCGGGAATGGTCCCTGGTTATCGTTTCAGTTCTCACATCGGGCCTCCCGACTTAAAAAAAGAGTGAGCAGCAGTTTGAGTTTATCATGGTGAATAGGCTATTCAGGATAACTGACAATTCCAGAAGCCCAACTGTCGAGAATGGAAGTGAGCCTTTCAAAGGAGAGTACTATAACGTATTGGAAAACGTCATGGCAAGTGGAAAGTTTTAACTTAGTGATGCCGTTTTAGTTCCAAAGTTGTGTGCGAGATCAGACTACCGGCTTTAAGCGAAATTTTTTTCTCATAGAAAAGAGAGAATTACATGAAGTTGGAGGGACAAATCCATAATACTAGAAGAAGCTGGAGTCTGCTTTTTCTCCCGTTTTGAAAAGATAGCACTATCACAATAGATTCATTGAAGTATCGCGAGATTACAAGAGACAGCTATCTCTCACTTTCTTCGATTTAAGAAATAAGCTTTTGACCCAGTTGAGACAGAGGCAGTCATGGATACCCTGGATAGTCAGGGAGTTCCTGCTCAGTACATAAAGACTCTTGGTGAGTTGTACCAAAATTTCGCAACCAAGAGATCACCATTTTACAACGATATTAACATTGACGTCAAAAGAGGAGTTAGACAAGGCGATACCATCTCGCCAAAATTATTTACCGCCGCACTCCAGAATGTCATGCGAACATTGGAATGGGATGACATAGGAGTGAAAATCGATGGTCGGTAGTTACGTCATCTTTGCTTTGCTGATGGCATCGTCCGTATAACACCAAACATTAGCCAAGCGGGACGTATGCTTGACGACTTTGATAAAACCTGTGGAAAGAGTGGTGTTCGACTAAATCGCACAGAAATTATGTTCATGAGGAGGGGATTGGTTTTAATGCCCCATTCACGCTCACTAGAATGAATACCTCCGATTGCTCCAGCTACGTCTATCTAGGTTGGGAAATCAAAATGATGAACGTCTAAGCTTCAAAGTTGATCAGGAGAAAGCGAGTGGCTTAGGAAGCTTTCAAAAAGAACACAGTGGATGTAGTGAGGAAAACAAGGAACACTCGGCTCCGCGCCCACCTTTTGGACTCCATGATTCTTTCTTCCTTAACGTATACTTCAGATACTTGGTCGCTACTAAGCAGGATGGAAGACCACTCAGCGTTATTGAACGCGCAGCCGAAAGGACGATGCTAGAGGAGTATTCCGTATTGCGCAAGTGACAAAAAGAATCCAAAAGTCCGATCTACATCAACGACCAAAAATCAAAGAGTGAATTTATACGCCAAACTGTCGAAGATATCTCGAAAGACCGACTTTCTATGAACCTCGGCATAGATAGTTGATATGTTTATTTATGTGATCTTATAAACTGATCTTCTTAAGCTGACGCGAGCTTGGTACAGATCTTCGTTGTCGTTGTCGTTGTTGTTGATGTTATTGATCGAGGGCTGACGTTTCGGCGACTTCGCCTTCCTCAGAGCCGTGATGTTACGTGCGGTCCCGCAGCTTAAGAAGATCAGTTTATAAGATCACATAAATAAACATGTCGAAGATGTTTGGCCGGACACGTAGTGCGTGTGAGCGACAACCTATCGATAAGACCGAAAGTGGAGGATTAATTGGCACCCGCTTGAGTTACTCGACGATCAAGGGAACGACAGCTGATACGGTGTTTTCATGAGCATCAACCATGAACACGATCAACTATGTAAACAATTTTACTAAAGTTCTAGGAGAGAGAGATGGACTTACATCTCACCAATTGAGGTGCTCTTTGACAAAACCTCTTACAGTGGTACACAAACGTGAAGCTGCACTCATCATATGCAGTTGTTACCTACCTACATCGTAAACTATAAAGCGCTGCATAAAAATGACAAAATTCTCCAAAGAGAGATTTAATCAATGAGACAAATCTATATTTTGAACTAAACTAGCGGTTGAAAATCAAAGAACTATATGATGATGTAGGTGAGCCGGACACGGGATCGGCCTTAACGACAGCCGCGAGACAGGAGTGGGTGACTTAGTTCTATGAGGTATGAAATGCACAGTTGGAAGACCATTGATTAAATGGTTACACTTTTCAAAGCATAGCCATGGAAAATATGGTGTATGTTGTGTTGCTCGCCAGCCTAACATACTGAGAAAGCTTGGTCCAAACAAATATATGTTAAAACTGTGGACCCCACAAGACTGCTGAGATATTTGCAAAACTCCTGACCGCAGGTGTCTGCGGTGGGGAACGAACGCGCTATTGTCCATTCCGGAGAGTAACGCCTTCACGACCACACCATGCGGGCTCTTCGCTTCGCCTGTCCCTCAGCTAGTTCTATCGATCAGTGCCGTCAGCAATCACCCGTCAACGGGATTGATCTGAGGAGCCCACATCGGCATTGAACCCAGTTAAGCTGAGGACTGTTGATTGCTGACGTCACCGATCGATAAAACTAGCTGAGAGACGGACGAAGTGAAGGACGCGCACGGTGTGGTCGTAAAGGCGTTGCTCCCTGGATAGGACAATAGCGCGTTCGTTCCCCACTACAGACACCTGCGGTTCGGAGTTTTGCAAAATATTTCAGCAATCTTGTGGTCGTATTTCGCTTAATACCTTGCCGTAAAAATTGTAGAAGGCAGAAAAGAAAAAGTAAACACTGTAGACACCCTTTGAAGTCATCTGATGACCAAATCATAGGTTAAGTGGTGGGGGCAGCAGCTATTGTTCCAATGATACAAGCTTCTTAGAAAATAATCTGATTCTTAAAGCTGTTTTCCTATTCATTGAATACATTATTTTTAATAAAAAATTGAGGTTTTGTGGTTGGTTAGATGGTTTCTGTTATAGAAAGGTCTAGATCAAGCACACAAATTGGGGCTGAGCTTGAGGCGACGATATGTTGACAATGGATTTCTGGATGCTCGTTATCTTCCATCTGAGGTGATTTTGCAAATCTGCTATGTTACTACAAGTGAAAAAGTCACACGTTATAGTAGAATTTGAAGGCTTCTGCCAAATGGAATCCTTCAGGTACACCTGGTAACTTAGTCAATATATTGCAAACGAACTCGACCTTTCTTCTAACTTGTATAGATAACTTCTGATCTACGTTTTACGGAAAGAGGTGGCTCTGACCTTCGTGTTTGGAGCAAAATATTTTCAGGTGGTATTCCGTAGTAGCGCCGTAGAGAGATGCCTTATGACGGCCTCCGCCACTGCTTCGTCTATGTTCAACCTGACCGAAAACGGCCATCCGACGGCTGTTCCTATATTTACCGTGCCAAAAGAGAAAGATGACGTTTGTTGACAAAATATTTCTAGAAAATCTGCGCTATTTGGATTTTTTTTTTTGGGGATTCGAATGAACTAGTAATGGTGTATGGGCGAGTATTACTTTTTATCAACACTTAAGAAATCGGTTCTCACAAACACAATTTTAGTAAATAGAAATCTTTAAAGCTTTCCGCCTAGATCAATCCTATTGAGATCTACATTCATTTCATTCTCATATGCAGTAAATTCGATAGCTCTCTTGGTGTAAAGGAACTGTGCGGTAGATTACGAGGGGTAGAACATGGGAAACCGTTCTCGCTTATCCCACATACATTTCTGGAAAGGCTGGCTCTTTCTATGTGGGTCAAGGCAGTGATTGCGTTTGCGCTTCGGGTTATTGCTGTGCGCTTGCCGTCAAAAGCGTCTATACAACCTTGGACATTTTTTTACATCGCAAATATTTTATCTTCTATTATTCAATTTTTAAAAACTGAACCAAAATTTGGACACGTACTTAATTTTAAATCCAAATTTTTTCCTCGGAAGCAATCTGGGCAAAGTAATAGTGAATTTACTGTGCCAAAAAAGAAAGATGGCTGGAAAAGTTTCGTACTAGAGATAAGAATCTTGATTGAAGAGCGAGATTGGCGCCACCTAGCGGCAGTTACCGACGAACAACTGTAAGCGATAATCGACGCTGACTCTGGAAAACTACCCAAATGCTAGGAGAAGAACTCATTCCTCACCGATAGTCCATCATTTGGAGAATTACCGGAAAGCTGAAAAATGCCGATGGATGAGTGTCGCACTAGTTTAATGAAGAGTAAACAAGTCGTTTTTATGAAGTCTGTTCCGCGCTTATTTAGGCAACAAAAACAAACAAACAAAAAGTCAACTGCAATTGACTACTTGACTGATAGAATAATTTGCTATCCGGAAATGAATGTCGAACTTGCAATAAAAATAAGGCTGTTATAACAGATCCATGGTAGATTAACAGTCAACGTTCAAAACCCTGCAGAAGCAGTCACAGCAGAGCTATGATTACATGGACACGTAGACGATTCTTTTACGGCTCGTTGGGATTCCAGCATTTCTTCCATTCCTTTCGCTATTTTTCCAACTATTATCAACGGATTTTTAATCCCTTTCTTTTTCTTTCATATGTTGAACGTTCGTCGTACTAGAAGGTTAACAAGTCTCCACCTCAAGCCGTTGAGAATGGGAAGCAAGTTCGGTCACTACTCTACAATGAGATTACCATTGATGTAAAGGGAGAGATTCAGCAAGGAGATCAACAAGGAGATGTCGTTTCACCAAAAATATCCTATGCCACTTTCGCAATCGTCTTACGAAGATCGGAATGGGTCCACATAAAATTGAAAGGTGGTACACACAAGCACAACATTGTCGCTTTACCGAAGTCATCGTAATCATGCCAAAAAACATCCAGGGAGAAGGAATGCCAGCAATTTTAGCAAAACATTGAACGCTGGAAAAACTAGACTTTGACTGAACTCAAAGAGAACAGGGTTTATAGAAAATGGCTCCATTTATTGTGATCCATTCATGCTTAGCAAGACGATTCCCTCTGACGTAAATGCTTCAGCTATGGCTATTTGGATTATGAAGTCAGCATTATAAAGATCCGTTCAATTACGAAGCTTTAGATAGAAGGAAATGAGTGTTAGGAGCTTATGTGTCAAGGATGTAGTAAAGTGAAACAAGCGTAAGTTTTGAATAAGAAGCCTTTTACTTATATTTTTGAAACCTGGACACAACGCACTATCGACAGAATGACTTTAAAGCCAGACCATCGTATTATTTATGTGTGACATAATTCATCATCACATTTCATACTAACACGGACTGATCAAATACGCTTCCACCTAGCCCAATATTTGAATAACCAAATGGTCGGAAAGAATGTCATAGTGTTAGCCCGTTTGAAGAAACCAACTTTACTCTGTGTTATTTCAAGCTTACTATGGGAAACACATCGAGCGGAGTTCTTTGCGAAGATCCTAGAAAAAAGTGTGGAGCGTCAAACAAGAAAATAGAGGATTTACTTTTGTGTGGTCGAGTCAATCGACGATCAACAAGGATTTTTTTAAACCATCAAGTACTATATAAGACTAAGCTTTCTCCGACGAAATGAGAAAAATATAACTTCACATCCCACTCTTTGTTTGGCCATGAAATACCATCCTTCGTTAAAAACTCTGTACGACACGTCTCTCCGTCTGTTCCAAGTCAACTCCTAGTGGGAATATCACCATGAAAAGTGAAGACAAAACTTTTCATAACGCCGTAAGACTTATCTAAAATTCCAAAAAGAGTTCAGAAAACGAAAAATCGATCTATCCGAAGAACTGCGTGAAATATCACAAACTCGAAACCTTTCGAGCGCAGATTTTTAGGCGTAACTTTTGTAGAGATTCCAAAGGCCATTTTGTCACCAGACTGATTTCTCAGACAAAAAGTTGGTTCACCATTGAAACCTCTTTTAGATACATTTTTTAAGATGACCCCTCTCACATCTACCGTGCGCATCCCAGCATTTATTGGTGCATTTGATTCGTTTCGGCACACTCATCGTCTACAATGGTCTTCGAACATTTCACGTGTTAATTCAGCTGCTGCTTGAGGATTTGGTTTTTTTATGAATGTTGTATAATACTCGTCGAGTCGACTGCCCTTGCAATCTTCGAGATATCCGGGCTAATGCGTTCCTACGTGGCTTGGAGGATAGTGTTGGGGCAGGGATGGAATTAGCGCCTTTGCTTCTTGCTCAACGGCATCACTGCGCTATACCTCCCCCACTTAGATGTTAAATGTACGGATGTTATCGCACGTGTAGATACGATCAATACAAATGTCATTCTGAAAGATTGAAAGACTTGCAGTTTTGCTCTGTGCCAAAGTGCTGTGATGTTTTCTCAGCTAGGAATATTCAATAGCTTTAATAAAATGGCTTCCTTTCATACTAGATTTGAGCCTGTTCATAATGCTAAGCTCGAATATCTTGGTGGCATTCTACAACACCACTTCATAGTTCGGAGCGTACAAATCATCTACTGGTGAGCCTAAGAGCGGCTCATTCCTATTAGGATTTGCGGCTTGAGTGGACGAGATGAAGTTCTTCCAGGTGAAGAAATTTCAAAGAATGTGGATATGGCGTAATTATTCTGCCAATACAAAATAAATACATATGTTTTGCGAGAATGGTTTACCTGCAAATATTTTCTTCGTCACCTCTTTCTTTGATTGGCGATCTTTTACTGCTATAGTTGAGTAGATTCGAGAGCCGGAAGCGCAACGGTTAGAAGTGCCCTGAAATAGGAATTTTGTCTTTGGTTCAACTCTCTGCCTTGGCTAACCACGTCGCCTATGCATTTTGGGTTGGCAATGTTTGTCTGAGAGGATAAAAACAGTCACTTGAATCATTAGTGGGCTCTCGCAAATAAATGTATAGGCCAAGCAGATATTCGGTCACCTTTATGATGGTTGATGCAACCGAATGCATGCACATCCCTTAGGGACTGATCAATGCCTAAATGTCTATCTCCTTAGTTCAGTGACATATAGCATGAACAAAGTATGCTAATATATAAATCTTAGAATTAAACAGTACAGTACATCAAGTACAGCAGTGTTTGAGATGAGTTTGGTTACCTGTTATAGAAGTCAAAGTAAAGTAATCATTTATTGGAACCCATTATATCCACTGTATCAAGAGTCCAATACTGACTATGAACTGTTTTTAATTACGGCATTTTAAGATCTGCAGAGCACGAATTCAGTGTCCTTTCGTTGTCGACGAAATGAAACAAATAACAGATATCACTGATCAGTCTGTAGATTTGGTATGTTATTCGCCTATTTAATATTGTTTCCTTCGTCCTGTCATTCGGCTTACAGCAACGCATCCTAGACGAGCTGTTTGCTCAAGAAGCAAAGCGTCTTAACTTCACACATATAGTCGAAAGGGATCGCATACGTCAATTCGAGCCGATCTTTTTCGAGGTGTCCATTTCATAGTGATGTTTATGTCTCTAGAATAGCCAATGTGAACGTAAATTTAGCACGACTCCGGTCTAGCGGTTCCACAGTGGTTCAATGACGATGCGAGGAAAGAGGCTAATCATTTGCTTGATTTGGTAATTTTCAATCGGACATTTCGTATAGACAGCAATATTTGGATTGCCCCGTTTTCACAATATATGCGAACCCAACCAAATTTTCCCTTCTCCCAACTAAATCGATCAACCAAGGGTTGGCGACTTCATCTTTCAGTGTTCAAACATCAGAATAGCAGTGGGCTATACCTGCGTCTCAACTTCAAATTGAGCCTGCCACGGTTTTACAAATAACTCCACGGCCGATCAACTGTAATTGAATTCTCTGCCACATTTTTTAAAATGTTTTCACCTGCAGAACTAAAATTAAAATTTTATCCGATTAAGCTGCAGAGTTCGTATTCCTATAAGCTTCCTTAATCAATCAATCCGTGCTTGTTATGAGAATACCCGCCATATCAACTGAACAAGCTACTTTCAGACAATTGAGTTTATAAGCGGTACAGGAAGATTTCACAGCCCGAAATGGATCTTGACACGATCTGGAAAATTACTCTATACCATTCTAAACAATCAACGAAAGGCTGTTGAGGATGCATTAAATGGCACGAAATTTTTTGGTTTTACCACGGTATTTTTTACACATTTCCTCCAAACTTTTAGATATTCTTACAAGGCAGGAGATGAATTTAGCTGAATTTAGCACGACGTACTCATTTCTCCCTTGTTAGATTCTATGGGAGTGCTAAACGTGGCCCTAGCTCCAAAAGGAAGACCAGATTTTGTGGCAACTGTTGTCTTCGAGTTGTGGAAAAACGACACCCAACATTACGTTAAGGTTCGTTGATATCCGCGGTTAAATGTTCAATCCCACAGAAATTTAAATGGATGAAGCGACCGCAAGAGTCTTTCAAGTTTTTCGACAGACTATTATTTAGCTATACAATTATCAGAACAACTAAATCACAGTGGAATTTACAGCACAATGATTTCTGCACAAGAATATAAGGCGGGTGGGGTGGTGGTTGGAGGTGAGCTGCAATAGGTTTAGTCCCACGCCTCTGGCTCACCATATCTTTTAACCCTCCGGAGTCTGAAAATTGGTACGAGTCTCGTCTGGAAAGACAAGAACGCTGAGTTGATACATTTTTAAACCATCTCGAAACATTGTATAGGCCTCTGATTATGAATAGTAGGCTAGATATGCGTTTGCTCACCTCTACGATGCTTAGTGAAGTCGATTGAATGGCTCACCCCTCAGGAATTGAGCAACTCCGAATGTTTTACTCTAATCCTTGTCACGAAGGTATTGAGATGTAAAATTTTGAAAAATTTTTAAAGGTGTTTCTAATATAACTTTAATCTATAATCTTAAGATTGTGATTATAACTAAAGCCTCAGCTTAACTGGGTTCAATGCCGATATGTGCTCCCCAGATCAATCCCACTGACGGGTGATTGCTGATGGTAAAAGATCGGTAGAACCAGTTGAGAGACAGGCGAAACGAATGACCCGCATGGTGTGGTGGTGAACGCGTTACTCTCCAGAAAAAACAATAGCGCATTCGTTCTCCACCGCAGACACCTGCGGTCCGGAGTTTTGCAAACATCTCAGCATCATTAAAGTTATATTTCGCAATATACCCTGTCATTAAAAAGAATAGGCAGTAGTTAAAACGGTCAAGATGGTGTTTCTTATGGTTTGCTGAATGGAGCGTCGAATAATACATTGAAATCTGCTAAAGTACTCCACGAGTTTCTGGCTCAAGAGCATGTAAGGCTTACTGTACGAAAGAAATGGAGACGTTTACTCTGAGCATTGGTTTCGTTGGTAAAAATTGACTCGCATTAATAAAAAAATTTGAGCTACCATGGCTTCAGCCGCACAGTCAGTTGTTGTTCATTGTGCACTGCTACACGCTGCACTAGTCAATGTATTCATGAACCCCATAAATTACTGTTCGACGGCAGGTCGGTGTTTTAAACACTTCAGTCTTAGCGAAATGTTTTTCGAAAATCCCCATGATCCCGACTTTCCTCAACAATTCCTATCAAAACTCAAAGAGCGCTTTCAACAAGCAGTGAAACGCTACCACACACGAATTGGGGGCAACATTTTGGGTCACGTATGCAGCCATTAGCAGTCATTTGAGAAATCTTGCTTATCAGATATTTTAATGTATCTGGATTCGTCGGCGCCTTAACGACTCTAGCAAAGAACGCCGTAGTGTCAGTCAGTATCTGCGAGTCACTGCTTTCTGTCATCATGTGCAGAAGTTCGTGAAAAAAGTCTTGGGAGTGGATAGTTACTTCACCTGCATTCGTCTGTCTTACCGACTTCGACGGATGGGTTTGCCGCCACATGAACTGAACTCATCTTTTTGCAAAAATTCCTTTATGTTGTTGATAGGATTAAAAATAAATGTGGAATAATCTTTAGTCAACGTTTCAACAGTGAGCATCACTGCCGCTCAACTTAAGAAGCTTGTCAAGTTATTCTGCTTAATTAAACAGCATCGAAGCAACAAAGGTAACTTCCAATAATTAAGCTCATCTTTGCGTTTCGAAGATAATTCTGGCGGCACTATGTTTCTAGCAATTTCTGAACACTACTGGTGGAATCCATGCGATCTGAGATATTTCTTGGACCAGACCCCTTTTGCTTATATTCGGTTCCTTGATTCTAAGAGTCATTTACGAAGCAGGTCATCGATGACGAAACGTAACTGAAGTGTAATATCGGCCATTTCTTTGCCTCACAAATGTCCGACTTCTAATCAGAAAGGGTTGAACACTTACCTATCAGTTTCGAAAATGTAACAATAGTTGCACCGATAATTCAAAATGGTTTGTGGTAACATAAAACTCAACGAGATTGATCTGTGTGATTGAGGGGTGATTGCTGATAGTACTCATCGATAGAAGTAGCTGAGAGACAAGCGAAAAAGACCGGAATGGTGTGGTGGTGAGCGCGTTAGCCCCCGTAGAGGGTAATAGTGCTAGCAGTCCGGAGTTTTCCAAATATGTCAGCATCATTGTGGTTATATCGCACATAATATTCTACGGTGGAAAATTCTAAGAAACAGTAAATAATAGGTTGAAATTGTGAATCGAAATGTTTATAATGAATTGATAACATCGTATTTCAGTAGGGTTGCAAACTTTTAAAGAATCTAGTCAGTTTGTTGTGAGGTTTTCTTTATAACCTAACTATAAATCAGTTATGGCTTTATTTGATTTCTTATGGCTCATGTTGTTTCTTTAAATTCAGCTTATGCATGTTTTTTATTTTTGATTTATAGGTGCTTTATCGACGAAACACGGAAAGCAACGAATTTACCAACCTTACTCCTATGATAAAAAGCTGTGGAGGTGGAAACGCTTGCGAAATTAAGGTGTTCGAGGAGGCGGTTAGAACTTTTCAAACAGAGCATCCTGAAGTTCTTTGCAATGTGAGCCATCTAGAGCACTTCACTACACCATCTGTCTTTTGCACTAACTACTAAAATTTCAGAAACTGAACATTAAACAGGATTCCGACAGAAATAGTGGGATTCCAGGTGAGCATCTATTAGGTTTGATTTACGGGAAACCGATGAAAATCGGCTATCATTTGATCCTGGCTAGTAGCTTGTAGTAAACGTACTTAGATATTGCGAATGACGGTAGTAGTACTTCCATCGTGCACAAATTTTGAAGTGGTCAAGGCATTTTCCAGTGAATAGTTTGCGTTTATTTTATGTTTACTACGATAGCAAGCGAACGGACAACGATGCTGAGTGGAAGGGTTTGCGATTAGTCACGGTCTAAAACCATCGCCGTATCCACTTAGAATTTAAGTCATTATACTAAAGATTCGATGACGGAATCGTTTTCAGCGTTAAATGTCTTCTTCATGCTATCTACCGGTTTATTCGCCGGGCTGTTCCTAGCTTCTCTTGCTCTTTACGTGCGCCATCGTACAGCTAGAGAACACAAAGCGGTCTCAGTTCAAGAAAAGCCTTGTTCGTAATACAGATTCTATCAGTACTGTAAAGTTTTTGGAGGGTTCCTACATAGAGCTTAACACATTTTCGCTGTGGTGTTTAAAGAGTTGTTCTTTTGCTGTTGGTGGCAAGATGCGAGGTTGTAAGACAATAGAACAAAGTAGAGTTTGCTCTGAAAGAAAGCAATTATTGATTTCTCATCTCTCTTGGGCCACTGTTTAACATCCTTATTGTGATAAGTATTTGCTTGGGTCATAAATACATGTGTTATTGAGATATGTGAACTATTTTGAACCATAGAATTATCAGTGCAGTCAACATCATTCTTCTATACCACTATCACTTTACGTGATAAGGCCAATGTTCATTTGCTGTAGACGGATTGTGCTACAGTGCTATTAAGAATTTTCTACCAGTTAAAAAACCTAAATAGCCAAGCCACATCTTAAGAATCAACTTTGTTTTTTGAAATATGCGCATTTCTCCATCTTCTCCAACATCTGGTGTTATTTTTTTTGTAAGTCATTCTTTATACCCCAATCGGCAACGCTGCACGCTTTTGGATATTTATGAGTCTTAAAGAGAATACGATTACTATTAGGAATATTAGAATTGTTGGGAAATTAATAGAGAACAATAGGAAAGGTGTTACTGGATGTAGTTAAGCATTATTGTTATTGTGTTACTATGTGAATAAATGTTCCTCCACCACTAGCAGCTTCATTGCTCATTTGGTGGACCGTCTCCCAATGGTTTCCCGCTTCATCGAGGATGGGAGGAGTTCCTGAGTGTCAAACTGCGACGTGTAGCGAGAGTTCATCTCTAGTATGGCCTTCCAAGTTGAGAAGGAGTCCGATGTTCCCATTCTGAAGTTCAGCTAAGAGTAGCTCAATATCAGGAATCACCACCGTCCTGGTAAAAAACTAATCGCATGGTGACAAATCTTTTTCTCATCCGCAAGACCCGCGGCTGCCTGAGATGGTGACAGCCTGAGGAAGGCTTAGGTTAAGTTCACTTCAGGACTCCAGGAAGCCACAGCGGCTAAACCAGCAGTGGCTGGAGAATGGAAAGTATGCTATAGATCGCACAACCAGTGACGATGGGCCAAGCCTGTTTCAGTCTAGAGTTGCACAGTGAGTTTTTAAACCGAAGTCAGACGATGATGAATCTACAGTTGTTTCTCATCATCATCGTGAAGAACTTCGACGGTCACGACAGCAGCGGCTAACCTTTCGTCGGTAATGATATAGATGTCAATCAGCTGACTCCTTAGAGTAGCGAGTGTTCAAGAACTGCATGAGCGTCACTAGACCACTAAATCAGTCTTGACTTGACTTAAGCGATTATGTGCCTAATTTGCGATCGACTATGACATTTCAGCATATAGAAGCGAAGGTCGGAAGATTTCCGCTTGCTTCAGTTAGCAAATTAAACTATGCCCTCATGCTGTCAACACGTACTCATTCTGCCAACATATGCAATAGCAAACACAGCGTGCGAAAACAGACTTCGTTGGCGAATATCGTCTCCAAAAAACTCAGATGTATTCCGCCCTTACACAGTTAGCCAGCATTCTAACAAAACGATGCTAAGTAATGCAGTCGACAATAGGTCTTCGAGTCAGTTCCCGGCACCGAATAGCCACTAGCTTTTAGCAGAATGCTAGACTTCGCGAGAAGACACCACGCGGTACTTTTCCTAGTTGCCACAAAACAACACCTCAAACTTGGGTAATTAGACTGTTTATATACATAAATGCACCGTTAATACAACACTAATATCGACAGAGAACTACTGACACACAAATAAGGCGTGTTCAAGGCTATGAGGTGCTGTACCTACTACTGAAGTGAGCCTTACAAAGGCAAAAACAAAAGTATAGGAGTATTGTAAATAATACTATTACAACATTAGTACTATGATAACAACAACTAGATAACAATGACGAGTAAGGGGATACGGATGATGGCGTCCTTATTGGCCCGTACAGTGGCCCAGATACAGACGAGCTGTGCATTAAGTTGTGCTTGGGAACATATGTGCAGCGGTTGGGTGCACTCCCACATTAAACGATGACGACGGCAAGTTACCTCAGCATTGATGTTGCAAATGACTACGAACGAGGTGAGTCATCT